CTGCCCAGGGAAGTGGTTGAGTCACCATCCCTGGAGGTATTTAAAAGACGTGTAGATGAGGCGCTTAGGGACACGGTTTAGTGGTGGACTTGGCGGTGTTAGGTTAAGGGTTGGACTCACATGATCTTAAGGGTCTTTTCCAACCTAAATGATTCTGTGATTCTATGATTCCACGATTCTAAATTTGTCCAATAACAGATGTGTCTGGCATCCTATGGAGGGTACAGCTTCCAGAAGCATCCAAGACATCCCAGCAACAACAGGGAACAGCACAACCATAACAGTGTAGGTAAACATAATCATAGAGTCATAGAATCATAGAGTATCTTGAGTTGGAAGGGACCCATAAGGATGATCGAGTCCAACTCCCTCCTCCTCGCAGGAATACCTACAAATAAACCATATGACTAAGAGCATCATCCAAAAGCTCCTTGAACTCTGACAGGCTGGCTGTAACAGAGTAAAGAGGAAGAGACATAAGAAATTGAAGGAAGCCTATTGCAAAGGTCTTAAAACAAACAAGTTCCACATAATAGTTAAGAAAATGAGTTACTCTTACCAGATGTCTTGATTGCTCAACTTTTTAAAGGGGAAATCAAATTACACAAGTATCTGTAGGGCCGTTTCGTATTATCAAGACAGTTTTCAATTAAAAAAAGGTTACATACAATTATAGGTGATTTTCTGTTGCTTCAAGGAAACTGATAATCACTGTAAAACGCCCACAGAGAACCTGAATCCAAGTTATATTCAATATAAATGCAAACTTCAGTTATCTTTGGAGATGGCAAAGTAGGAACTTTCCAGTCATGCTCTCTCCATAAAAATCAGATTGGCTTTTACTTGTTCAAAATTATTTGAGATGGAACTTGCAGTGATTTCCTTTAATGGGATATATACGAGAAATGATGTTCCTTCTCCAAATCAAACCACTGCTTTAACACAATTTCTCATCCCGTAGCTTTTTCAATTTAAAATACATCCATATTTATACTCCATGGCATTTAATGAGTTCTATGTATGAAGTAGAATTAAATATATGTAGCATGAATATCGAATTTAAGCCTGTTTCCCTGAGATGTCAGGAAAAAAAAGTGTCCGCTGAGAATAAATGTGTTGGTATTCAGCAGGGCACAGGGGGAAGGAGCTAATGGCTAAGCCTAAGCAGAGTTATCTGGGGGCTTTTCTGTTAAATCTAGTAGTCGTTGAACACATAAATAGTGAGATCCTGGTTCCTGATTCTTCAAAGCATAGGCCACAACCAGAGCCATGGTGCTTGTCCTCTCGTTGTAACAGGAACTGGCAACAGCATCTCAATCATATTATTTTACAACTTCTTTAGTACTACATATGTCTCTTTGCAGGTCAGTCAAAAACACGCTTCACAGCACTATCATCGACCAGATCATGAACAGACCATTTGGTGATGCTTTGCAGGCTATCAGACTTAACATTAGGAAGCATTTCTTTCGAGAGAGGGTGGTCAAACACTGAAAGAGGCTTCCTAGAGAGGTGGTTGATGCCCCAAGCCTGTCAGTGTTTAAGAGGCATTTGGACAATGCCCTTAGTAACATGCTTTAACTTTTGGTCAGCCCTGAAGTGGTCAGGCAGTTGGACTAGGTGATCATTGTAGGTCCCTTACAACTGAAATAGTCTAGTCTAGTCTAATCTATACATCACAGTTGCTGCTAGCAAGGCTTGGTAAAGGGGCTATCTTGGAGGTAGCAGCTTAAACTGTGGGAGAAGTTTTTGGATATGCGATTCCATTTTAATTATGAACTAAAAAGGCAGCCGTTCTGGAGTGTATGCAATGTGCTGCATTCTACGTGTGATTTGTGACTATGCCAGATTTCCTCCTAGACAAGGGAACTGCAGGACAGCAGTCCAGAAACCTCCGAACTGCAGAGGACTACCAAGGATACCATCAATATACAGGGAACTGGCATAGCTTAAAAAATACCATGAAAACCACATATAGATACTGAGAGGGAGCAAAGCCGAAAGAATGAGAGGAGAGGAGAGGAAAAAGGATGTAGGGTAACAGAACAGATTTAGGATTGTACATGGAAAACAATTAGCCAAAGGGTTGCAGATGACCATGATGATACCGAGAGGTGGAGCCATACACAATATCGCTGGATAGTAAAGATGGAGGCATGCCCTTCTGAACAGGCAAGTGGAAGGATGCATTTTTTCATATCCATCATGGAAGGAAAATATTTGGGATAATGCTTCTATTCAACAAAGAAAAAAAATAAAACATCCAGAGTTATTTTTAAAAGGCTGAGTATTTGCCAGCAAATCTTACTGAAAGTTTGAAGTACTCTTTTTAGCAGTATGCAGGAAGCAGATTACATGGGTCAGGCAGCATACAGAAACACATGGAGAAAATATCTCACTATGGAATGAGAAGCAGATTTACAATTAAACATGACAACAGGCAGATGGTAGGTGAGGGCAGGCAGAGGCCATTTGCCACGTGCATGAACAACTTGTAAAAGAAAACCAGGAAAACTGTTGCAGATGGCACTGAGGGGGTGAAGCTGTCATCCCAGGGTGCTGCAGGTGCCGAATTTCTGCTGTCAGCCTTCAGATCAATTCTGGGAGGTCAGACTGGACTAAAACATCTGGCCTCACGTCTTGAATACTGCTCGTCACAACGACAGCGGCTCTTAACACCGAGACAGCCAGGAGGGTTGGAGCTGCCCCACTCGTCCTCCAGAGCCTCTCCTGCACGGGGCTGTTCCTCATCGTTCGTAGGGTCTTGCCAGGCGGCCTTTCGTGAGCAGCATTTGCTGGAGAAATACTTTTTTTTTTCGGGGGGGGGGGGCAGCTTTGAAAGTAGTGCGTTTCCCGGGGCTACCTTTCGACGCGGCGTTTAAGCACCGCACCGACCCGGTACTCTGGCCACCCACAAGTCCCGGAACCTAACTAGCACAGGGCACTAACAAGGGAGTACGTTCAGGAGCCGGCAACCGATGGGGATAGAAACCTGGGCTGCAGCCCCAGCCCACCATCGCACCTGTGCGCCGCCCAGGGGCCTC